AGACTACTAAACAAGTAATCAGAAGAAAATAATTTAACTATAGAGACCAAAGACAGATTACAGTCCTTCTAAGCCATCTGAATTAGTAGTTTGGAATAACAGAAGTATGATAAATAGTTTGTATAGTAGATGCTGAGATTTGGGCAAACTCTACAAGAGCCAGGTAGTTAAATGGTATGGCCTGTTCTAAAGGCTTAAAACCTATCTAACTAATGTGTCTGTAAAAAGAATTGATGATGTGATCTGCCTGTAAAGGTATAAAACCTATCTAGTAATTTTTATCCAATCAAATCACCAGAGAAGTAACTGAAGACAAAAGTTTCAATTATGGGAATCAGAAGCAAGTTACAGTCCTTCTAAGCTATTTAAATTGATAATTTGGGTGACGAAAGTACAGAAGATAGTTTATAAAGTAGGTATTGAGGTTTGAGCAAACTTTGTAAAAGCACAGAGTATATAATAATAGTAGAAGTAAAAGGCTACAAGTGTTTGTCCTCAGACTCGATATAAATTACTAAAAACCTAGGTGATATATGAGATGTTATCAATAGAAACAGCTTATTTTTACAATTTTTTAAAAAATGTATTTTTATTAGATTCATATAAATTTTGATATAATTAACATTTTCAATTATAAATGAAAGTCTATTTGTATAATAAAAAATCGAGATAATGTAAAAGAAAAATTACATGAGGCTTTGTAGAGCTATCACATTACAAGATTATCCAATAGTCATCTGCTGCCTTTAATCAATCAAAATCATGAAATTTGTTAATTCTAGATCAGTCCAAAAATCAAAACAAATGATTAAATCTAATTATTTCAAAATAATGTATATATAAAAATGGGCTGTTTCTATTAATAACATCACATATATGTGAGACATAAATCACTCTAGTAGATTTATTACAAAATCAAAGAACCTCTCTATATAAAAGTATATATTTACTTTAAAGACTTAGCAGGCTTTAATAACAAGAAGTTAATCAAAAAGTTTAAATAGAAAATCTATAGACAAATCTCAGGTATAACAAGTGGCAGGTAACTATAGATAGAAATAGATATAGCAGAGCCTTAAATAGACAATAACTAAAGTTATACATATAATTAACTGTATTTTTATTAATGTAACAAGATCAAATGCAGTCTATGTGACTATGCTAATATTGATTCAAAAGTTTAATAAACTATGCCAGACCTGTAAGAGTCTTTAATCTTGTATATATTTTGAATAATATATAATATAACTATTAGTCAAGTCAACAAGTAGATAGAATAATAATTAGGTTTTTTTTATATTAAAAGTCTTCTTAACAAGATACTTAATTTATTGTCTAATTTAGCTATAATAATAGTTAGTTCTTGATAAAGTATTGATAATATAAAATCATTTTTATTTATATTAATATTAATTTTATAATTACTTTTTTGTAAAGATCATAATTTACTTCTTCTTTTACTTCTATTAATTTATATGCCTTGTCAAAGCTAATATTATTAAAAAAAAAAGTTTTAATTCTAAATTAAAATCTAATTTATTTGTAAAAATGCTTTCTGCTATAATGCTTTTTGATTCAGTAGCTAAATTCATATTTGCAATGTCTTTATTATAATATAATATAATGCAGTTCTATATATAAATTACTATAGACACAAAAGAAAAAATTTTCTAGTAATTGTTCAAAAAAAACTTTTTTTATACTAAGTTAATCACTTTTAAGTTTTTAAGTAAAGATGTAAAGCTTATTGAGATGAATTTAATGATAGTTAGATTATCAAAATCAGTTTAATAGATGCCAAGATATCTTTAAAAAACATTTTATTGTCTATATAAAATTTTTTAAGAACAATATAAAGAATTTTGATATAGTTAACAAAACATTTTTTAAAAATATATTGGCATCTACTAGGCCAATTTGAATGATTTACCTATTATTAGATTTTGTCTTAATGAGCTTTACAACTTTACTTAAAGATTCAAAGATGATTAACTTAGTATAAAAAAAGTTTTTTTTGGATAATCACTAAAAAATTTTTCTTTTATATCTAGAACCACATCACATTACACTATGATTATTCTTCAGTTTACTGAAGAATTATTAATTAATTGATTGTTTAAAAATAATTTTATTATCACTAATTAATTTTTTTTACTAATTGTGAAGTATAAGCATGATTATCATTACTATTATTGCTATTAAGTTTGGTAGTATTTAATGTTAAAATACTTTTTTATTGGATAACAATAGTAATAAAAATTGTTATACTTTAATGAACTTGATAAAAAAATAAATTTTTATTCAAAACTTTTGTTATCCTACTAATAGCTGAAAAAAAGTTTAAAAATTTAATAAAATTTTCAAAATCAATACTAATATTAATAACATTGTAAAATAATCTCAATATCGATATGACAACAATTTTTTTAGGAGTATTAGCATTATTATATATAGGTTTTCTTAAAATCTATTTTGAAAAAAAAACAATCTCAATTTAAGATTTTTTAAAAACTAGATATGCTATAATGCACAAAATCAGGCAGTTTGCAAGAAAAAACTGAGAAGTTCTGTTATACTTAGTAAGATATGATAGTATACCTTGTATTATAAGGATGCTAGCATAAGAATAAAAATTGCTTTTGAGACGATTTCTTATATAAATCAAGTGTAAAAATGATCATCGATTAGTGATTACTGTATTTTTTGCTGCGCAAACAAAATGTTGCGCATATTTTCTTTTAAACAGATGTGCTGATGCCGCACAGAAAAAATTACCATTTTGTAAGTATATAGTGCGCACACTTGTAAATAGTTGCTTATAGTTTTTCTTGATTTGCTGTACAGAAAAGTTTCTAAATTGTGCAGTATCCGCACAGTAAATTTTAACTGAAAAATTAACAGTCATCGATCATCTAATTGATACACTTGCCTGTAAATTACGGAACAAATTTTTTAACGTTAAATTTGTTAACAAATTTATTTCTCAGGGGTGTAACTTAAACCTAAGTTTGAACCGAATTATACCCTAAAAAAAATTGGTTACAAAAAATTGAATTAATTTGGTTTAAGATTCTTTAAGAACAGTGAAAACAATATATAAAACTATACTTTTTTTAAAAAATATATATATAAGGATCTGCTTAACTTGACAAAATGCAACATTATGAAGATGTTAATTACAAAATTTACTTCTGGCAACAATTTCTATAAGAAATTGGATGCATAAGCCGGTGTCGATCTCTTATTTGATACATTTTGCGCCATAAATTAGGGGATATCTGTTGATTAATATGAATGTATTTATATAGTGTCTGAAATTGGGTTGCGGAGCTTGCGGACCACAAATGATTTATAAGTTTCGCAACTAAAATCTGAAATGTATATGCTAGTTCTGCAAATAAATTTTGTGAATTTGCATATAGATATATTCGATTTGCATGTCTGTATTTTACTATAGTTTAGCAGTATTGTCACGGGACAGCTCTAGACAAATTGTGAACAATTGTAGACAATTTTGAACAAAAAAAAACAAATCTAAATTACTTAAAATTTTATTAAGATAACCTATTTTAATTTTTTAAGCAAAAATATTCGGAACTATAAAAAATATATAATCATGTCTTTTTTAAACTAATTTATTTAATTTTAAAGCTTAAATATTCTTTGGACAATTGTGAACACTGGACGGACATAGGCAAAAAAAGTTTTGGGCATAGTAGATGTGACAACACTGGTTCAAGTTTTCTAACCATAAATTTTACTAACGAAACTATTAAAATATGTGTGGTGCTGAACACCAATTGTGTGATTTGTGCTATTGAATAAATATTCTGATTAATTTGTATATCTCAAAAAAATCCGAATTTTATTAAAAAATTATAATTAATTGTATATTTGTAGAAAAAGTTCTTACGTAGAAGCAGTAAATACTGTATATAATATAATTACTATTGTAATAAAATACAACCCTCCGTAAATGCATCCCCTGGGAAAATTTTTAAAATGCATTTGTGCATTTATGGGGGCGTTTTATTAAATGCTCTATATGTTGGGGAGTGCGCATTTAGAGAAGGTATACATAGTGCGTATAATATTAAATATCTTATCGTTATACGTAATTTAATCTTACTACGTATATAAATATTTTAAGAAAATATTCATATATTATTTCCGTATATGCTATTTATCACAGTTTAACCAGAATTTGATTTAAAATATATCGCAATAAAAAAATTGTACAATCGTATATACAATAATACAATAAATAGTTATAATTTTAAAAAACACTTCAAACAGTATACATAAAAAATTACCATATTTAATACAACTAAAGAAAATCAAATACCAAATAAACTTAATGCGCAATAGTGCGAAGAAAAAAAACAAATTTAAAATCATAAAATACAATTCAGAAAAATATATATATCTAAATTCTTTTTCGTGCGTATTCATAGTACACTATTAAAAACAGCATGGCGAATATCATGAAATATGACAAAGTAAATAACGTATATAGAAGGAATGACTATATAGAATGGTATTTTATACAATCCTTGCACCATAAAATTTTGTGTATAAAAAAATATAAAAAACAATTTAAGCTATCGAAATAATTACTGTGCCGTCCATCATAAATTATTTCCATGGTTACCAATAGGGATGGTAAGTAACTTCGATATTATGATATCTGCCACTTTACCCCGCCATATTACCCCTTTTACCTTATAAAAATCAAAAAGTTTATTAAATAAAACAATATTAGCATATTAAGTTATTCAGAAGAGCAATATATATATATATTTTTATTTTTAAGTCCTACAAAATATTGAAAACCAGGTTTAACTTATGTTTGGAACTTATTATATAAAAACCCTGGTTCCTAGGTTTTTAATATGGAACCTAAAAGTTTTAGAACCTAAACCAAACCTAAACTAACTTTACCATCCCTAGTTATTAGACACCATGAATCCGAAAAATAAGAAACTTCAACGTATTTCTATTTAATTATTTTCCAGCTGTACTGTGCTGGCTGTGGGGTTAGAAAATTTCTTCAACCGATCCAATTCCGTTTCCACCATCTTTCTTGATGGTCCATTGGTGCTAATATTGGGTTTAGCGGACATGCTTAGGGAGCTTGCAGGCTCGTTTGGTGATAGTGGTGTTTGGGATGATCCTTGGTTAGTGGATTGATTATTAGCTGCTTTTTTTGTGAGTAATGCTTGGAAGAAGTTTGCAAGAACTTCGTTTGGTGGACCAGAAGGTATGGCCGGTTGGGAACCATTCTGCGTACCCACTGGTGGAGATGTAGATACGGGGGTCTGTTTCTTAAATTTTGAAGTAAGCTAGAATCAATATCAAACTTGTGTATATTATCTTTATAATGATTAATATTAATTAAATACACTAACTTTGAGATTAGGCCTATTAGTTAAAGTTTCTGGCTCTGGAATATCAGCTCCGATATTAGCATATGGGTACTGAGGTGCACTCATTGGTCCAACGACTGATGGCGATGGTGGACGTTCGTTATTAGCTTTTTGTAAAGTTTCAAAGTGACGGTTGAAGAATTCTTGCTCATCTTCTGCGACAATGATTGATGGATCAGTAAGCGGCTAAAAAAAAAAAATTATTAATCAGTAAAGATAAAAGTTTGTAATTAAAAAAACAAAAGAAAAAAAGGTTAAAATTTCACTTACTTTATCGTTATCTATGTGAACAACAACCTCTTCATACACTTTTTTGGCGCTAATAACTTCTTCGGCATCTTCCGTTGTTTCCTTTTCACCAGTCATATCCAAATCCCAACCTTGAAGCAGTCCGTCACAATCGAAGCCATCTCTTAAGCATTTAATTAGGTTCCAAGAATCCCAACCAGTGGGAACCAATACTGTGTCACGTTCAACATAATTTGGTTTAACATTAAAAGAATAAATAGATTTGGCGTCATTGGATGAAGATTTTGATCCAAGAAGTCGATGAAGAATATATTGACGGAGATTTTCGAACGTTTTTGGATCTCGAGTGGTTGTGTAAAAGAGCGAAGCACCATCTGGTGTGTTGGATGTTTAATAAGCAATGGATTAAAAATATGGAAATCAAACATCAACATTTAGGATTTTTTTACTCACATTTAAGACAGATAGTTCTTAGACTTTGCTGTATGTAATCAAATTGTTCTTCTTTATAATCCATCTGTTTTTCTAACGTGGTAACGTTGTCAGACTGCAAAAAAGTTATGAATTCTCTAAGTAACATAAAAAATTTTCAAGGTAATTCTAAGAAACAAATCTCATTACCTTGGTGCAAACCACTACCAATGGCACAGCCAAATTTGTAGTCAAAACTCCTGGACCCAAAGGTAATGCAACTTCGTCCTCTTCGGATGACGCTGGCACTGTCCCGCTAGCAGTGCTAGTATCAAGTTCGTTAGCATAATTTTTAATAAAACGTTCGACTATTGTTAATCATATAAATAAGGTATAAATTAATTATTATTTATTAAATTGAAGTAACAAAATTTGACCAATTATTATGTAATACTTACGTATCTCTTGCATTTCTTCGACAACGGCTTTACCTTTGGTCCAGTCATCTTTAGCCCCTACAGAACCTTCCTTCTTTACTCGTTCAATACCTACTTCAATAAATTTAATCCATCGTTGCAATGTTTCGACAAAAGTCCATGGACGTGCCCAATCTAAAACAATTACAACAAGAGAGTCTGGTAGGGTTGTGGAATTAAGTGCAAAATGAAGGAGAGATTGATAAGCTTCTTGAGAGCCTGCAAGTTGGTATATTCCAAGACGAGCAAGCGTATCTAAAACGATATATGAATTAGATTTAATAAATTAACACTTGGATGAAGAAAACGAAATAGATCATATAGTAGGAATCAATCTTTAAAAAAGATTTTCAAGTTAAACTAAATAGCTATAAAATCCATATTTTACCAACCTTCTGCGTCATCATCTTTAACTTCAGTAAAGGTATAACTTAGAGCCAAGTCGCTGTGATGCTTTTGATTGTAATTTTCGCTTTCCTCGGCGTTAGCGTCAGTACCTTTTGAAGCATTATTTACTTCATAAATCTCTTCGTCTTTCTCTCCTTTTAAATGTCTGATGAGGGTAGATTTACCCGATTCTCTATCGCCTTTAAATAAGCAACAAAGCACGTGACCTTTTAGTTTGACGCTGGAAGCGGTCAATTCTAACTAAAGCTGCTGAAAGACGAACCTAGAATCAATAAATTTTTTGTAGGAACAATTTTTGAGGAAGAAACCCCTTTGAGAATTGAAGTCCAGATATCTTCTTGTTGGTCGCTTGCCAATCCATTATTATTTGGTGCTTGATTGTCACCAGTAACGTCGTTTTTTTGTACCATTATAATACCTAGTCGTTAACTTGAGTAGTAAAAAGGAACGATTTTTTTTTTTACCAGTGTTAAGACCTTCGAAGCTAAGAGTTTAAGTTTGCTTAAAGCAATTTGGTTTTGTGACGTAAACTATTTCAATGGATGTTTTCAACACTGTCACGGGATCCGCATATAACTTTTAAGGAAAAAAAGGTAACTTTACAATATACTTTTAATAATTGGGGTTTCCGAGGTTTAGAGTAACACTATGCAACCTTCTGGCATGGCAAAGTCATAACTTTTTAATACGTTTGTGTAGCCAAAAGCTTATGATAATAGTGCAATTCTATGCTTGTCGGATTGATTAAAAAACAAAGAAAAGACAAAAATCGTTCCCTCTCTTCCTTATGATATCATAATATTCGGTATAGATCGTTTCATATTAAAAGTACCTAGCCAAACCTGGGACCTCAAATCCCCGCCATTGTCCAAGTAACACAATCACTGGATGCGCCGGTACATACCAGGATCATTGACTTGTTTCAAGTTTGCCTAAAATATTAAATGCTCCTCATTAAATGTATGCCATTCATTCTTTAAAGTGAATCATGTCAGAAATGCCTTGATTAATGAATTTGTTTAGGTTTATCGGTTTATCATAGAAATAAGATGCAAAAAATAGATATATATCATTATACGTACGTACGTACACACGTACGAAGGCATTTCGAATCACATGACATGATTACTCACAGGGATTGAATATAAGACCCTTTTAGTAAAAAAAAAAAAAACTTACTTTATTGCAGGAATTTTTTTCCTCCACCGGTACGTATTTAAGATTTTAAACCAATCATTTTAAATTATAAATTAATATGAAGTCTAAACTGGATATAATGATTCTATTTTCAGGTTCGGTTCCGGTTCTGACCAAACATTAAGCGACCAGCCCGGTTCTGCTCAAAATATATAAATTTGGCCGATATCGACGTTTTAAACTTGTCGATTTTTATAAAAAAAAATTTGACCTGATAAACTGTTAGGGACGTGTCAGATATTAGCTATCAGTTTACTATAGAGCTCATCCCCCCTGAGAAATTTAGTCATTCTGATTGGTCATATGTATATATTTAGACCTGAGATTTTGTCTACCCCCCCCCTACCCTATGATATCAGCTGATATCTGACACTTCTCTTATCGTTATATAATTCCCTTTGCATAAGCGTGAAAAAATTTTCGCTGACCAATCAAATTTTAGATCAGGTGCAAAATCGTAACGGTCACATTTCATGTGTAAAGTTTTTATCTAAAATTCTATTTATAAATTGCTTATCGATCTTTATTTAGTAGAAAGGAGCCGTAAAGATATAACTAAAAACAAATGAATTATGATACAAATAAAAAACCAAACCTATTATTATCGTTATAAGTCTTTTATTATAAAGTTTAAAAAGTAGCTATATAAAAATAAATCTAAGAATTTTAATGGATATGATTTTACTACGTATATACTACCAGTAGTATATTGTATAAGTTGTTTGCTATATAAGTTAAAAAGTTAATATCGCGGCTAATGCTAAAGTTGTCTGATGCTAAAATTTGGGTCTTAATTTGAAAATATAAATCTTGCTAAAATTTATATATACTGTATTTAAAAAAAAAAATAAAAAATAAATTTAAAAGTTTATATATTTTTTTTAATTTGGCAGTTCTGCTTTTATTATTTTATTGAAAGTACTAGAAAATTACTATTAACAGGTTTAATATAACTTTTTATACTATAGTTCTATGCTAATAAAAACTTTCTTAGCATTAAAGTCCAGGTGCAACTTACCTAGCAGCAATTAACTTCATGCTATATCCTCAACTTATTGAGAATTTGGTTTTTTTAATTATAAGTCATAGTAACTGCCTACTTTGTCAAAAAGCTAAACAAAAAAAAGTACAAAAATGAAAAGAAAAAACAGAGATATAAAAAATTATAATAAAACATACAAGCATAAAAAAGAAGTAAGAAAGTATTAAAAATAAAAAAAAAGAAATTTGTTTATTTTAATATCATATTTATAAGCCTGTAAAAGGTTTTTAAAAATTATATATTACTAAATAAATTAGTTTTTACTTTATAGTAAATTTATCTAAATAGTATAAAAATTTCATCAACTAGAGTAGTATAGAGAAGTTAGTATTTGATAATAATCTTAGAATATTGTTTGATCAGATTGTTATATTCAAAACATATATTTTGATATATTTGTTGTTTTATTATATTAATTTAAAAAGTAAACAATACTAACTGTTTTGATATATATAATATTGATTTTTTTAAAAAAGATAAGCTAAAATATTTACTTTTTATAAAAATTTCATTAAAAAAAAGTGATAAATTAATAAGAGTATATAAGATTCTTCTTATCCCTTAAACTGTAGACTTTTCTAGGCAAATTT